AAAATCAGAGGCCAAGGAGGGATAAAAGAGAAAGACAACACCTCTTTAAAGCAGAGATTACACTCCGTGGTTCCCATTTCCCAAGTTCCCACAACGTTTTGTTGCAGGGAGAGCGCTGGAGCACGGGTGCTGTGGGGGTGCCAAGGCATAGCCCCTCCCTGCCCACCTCCCTGCCCACCCCAGGACCTGGGAAACTCAGCCACCTGCCTCAGTGACACCACTCCTCCAGCCCATTTAGCAAGAAAATGCCAATTCTGCAGCAGGCACCGACCAACCCTGACTGCCCAAGCTGCCTCCATGAGATTTTCTCAGTGCACGAGCACTTCTCCAGTTGCCTGAGGGCCCGACCCCATCAGGGCTTTTATTTGGGTCTGGATCACTGCTCAGCTCTAGAAGGTTCTCTCCCCTACCTGCACCCTTCCCAAATTTCAGCCACACTTCTCCAGTGCCAGCAGACAGGGCTGGACACACAGATTTCCAAGGAGACATCAGAGCATCAGTGTCCTTCCCAGCCTGGGCTCTGCAGAACTAGAAGCAAGGGGTGAGCAAGACACTGTCACAACTTTTAGACCACTGTCCTGGGTGTGTTTGATAGAAAGGTCATTTCTGTTTACATTTCATGGGGCTTGAAATGTCCTGTGCTCCTAAAATCCTACTTAATTCTGACTATTCTAGTGCAGCACCACGAGGTCAACTATAACTAAATTTTACTTTAACACTAAATTTTAGAAATGCTTCTAAGAGCAGGTCCTGGAACATGACAGCCAAAACACCTTCTGCCACAAGGCCCCAGAAATGGAGTAACTTTGACTTCTAGTTATTTTATTTTAAAGGTGTCATGGCTTTCTAGGAACAGGCAACTTTGCCTTTGGGCAGAGCACACAAACACAGCCCTGACAGGTGCCCAGCCTTAAAACATCTCTGCCATCCACCTCCTTCACCCTTGATAAATAAAGATTACCATCCCTTGGTTCTTTAAGATAAGCACCCCTTGGTTCCTTTTACACCTGCAACACTTCTGCAGGAGGACCCACACCATGGAGAGCACATCAGCAGGATTCCTGGGCCGGTCCCATCATCCCACCATCAACATTTCAAAAGATGCTTGCTCTCTTCCATCTCAACCTGTGCACTGGAGAAGCCAGGGAGCCCTCCTAGGCTGATCTGCAAAGCAAGGAGTGTGTGCATGGGGATGGGGGAGAATGGCGGGAGGGAGAGAGGAGGACAAAAACAACAACAAAACAGCAAAGAAAAAAAGAAAGGGGAGTGGGGGGGGGGGGGGGGGAAGAAAAACCAGTGAGGTTGGCCTGCTTCTTTCTTCTCTACCATCTATTCAGTGTCAGCAGGGGAGGTCCACAACTGTTGCGTCACAGGGAGCACAAAAAAGCCTGACAAGCGTGTTTGAGCTGATGGAGAGCAGAGTGGACAGGAGGCTGCTGACAACTCCAGCTCCACCGGGCACTGCGAGCCCCTGGCTTGAATTGGCTGCTCCTTCCCATCGCATCCAGCCCGCACGGGCTGCTCCAAGGCACCAGCAATGGCAGAAATTCCAGCCTGTAAATACTTTAGTTAACTCTCCAGCTCGGGTTAGACCCTCACTCTGGTGCAGGGATCCAGGGTTTTTAATGCAGGAGGCACCTAAGGGAGGATGCAGGAGATGCTTCGAAACGGAGAGGGGGGAGCTAAACCACAGGTTGTGCAGGACCTGGAGAGGTGTTTATAAATAATGTCGCTAAAATTAATGCACTGATCACTGGCATCTCTAACACAGCATTTTCTTCTCCACAGAACTCTGACAGTGGTTATGTCTGTGGTATAATTATCTAGATTTGATAGCGGATTAAAAAAATATATATCCTAAACACCTGTTCAAGAGTTTTGTGTTTTTAAAGGCTATTGCCATTAACCTTGGGCCACGCACTTCATTGTGTTTAATTAGCAAGCTAATGAAGCCAGTTTTATTCCCTTTCTCAAGCACAAGAGGATAAATACAAGACAGTGAAAGAGGAGACCAGATCCATTTGCAGCACAGTTCATTGCTGCATGGCATTACTTAAACTTGCACCGAAATAAAAGTAATGTAATGGCTTGGAAAGCATGTTAGCAATGCATTCTGCAAGACAAATCCTTTTACACCTTCTGTATTTTCTCAAGCTCATCGATTAAAACATGATTTCTGAACATTTGGGCTGCAGAGAATTTGCAAACAAAGGGCTAAAAATAAACATAATGTTTTCCTCAACGAATCCTCAATATTCCAAAAAACTAAGCGTAACAGATTTATTTTTTTTTTGAAAGAACAGCAGCCCGTGCTTGCTTTGTTACATCCAGCCAAGGTAGAGATGAGAAGCATCAACAATGGAGGTTAAGTGATTTTCGAAAAGCCCACCACTTTCACAGAGCCCTAACGTGTACACACACAAAAGGCATACTTTGAGCAAAGCCCAATGCTCTGAATCCCAGCAACACATTCCAACTTTGGGTATCTCAGCTTGTTTTCCTTTTTTTTTTGTTTTTTTTTTAACTGAACAGCTTTAGGAAAAACTGGACAATAAAGATCACGTTTATAAATACTCATAAATATCACAAGAAAGGCAGAAAGGCTTTAAAAGAGAGGGAGGGATTTACAGAATGGCTAATGCACTGATTAGTGATTCAAAAGGACCTTTCCAAACAAACAGAATTATATTCATTTTCTGGGGTTTCTTTATTGTATTTTCAGGGGGGGTGAGGAAAAATTCAGCACAGGTATGCCCTGTCAGATTATCTTTTTCATAACATAATACATTTAAGAAGCTTTCAGGATGTTTTGGTTTTTTTTTTTTAAGCAATTGCTTTTTTCCCCCTCCAACTTAGATTTCAGCCACTCTGTGCACACAGCCATAGGATCAGGTTAAATACCAAAACCAAACAAAAACCCAACGCCATACCCAAAAACAAAACCAAAAACAAAAAAAATCCGGAAGCCATCTCTTTTATTGAATCACCCGAGATAAAAGGATTCCAAGATATATGGAAAGAAAATACATTGACCATAAATCTCCTTTATGCACATAATAGAATTTTCCAGCCAGGAGAGCTGTTGTGATGATAGCAACGCCGAGCACCAGGAATGCTGCTGGCACACACACAGCCCCCCCTCCCCGCTCCTTCCAAAATACCTGCTCTCCTCAGCACTGCTATGTAAATACAAACCCGCACATCCCCCTTCCCAACACATGCAAACAAAGCTGCGTACAAGTGTCCCAGCCATCAGATAAAAAATCCCGAGCTGGCTTTGCTCGCTAAGAAATTAATTTTTTTTTTAATTTTTATTGTCCGCTCCTTTTTTTTTTTTTTATTGCCACTCGCACTCACTTTCGGTGCGACTTAAAAAAAAAAAAAATAAAAAAACAACGAAGCGCTGGCACGGCGGGTAATGGCAGAGGCAGGCGGTGGCAGCGCATATTTAATGGGCACTCGGAACAAAGGAAGCCCGGCTGCAGGAGCGCCCCGGGGCCGGCTCCGCGCCCGCTCCCCCCGCGGCCCCGCCGGGCAGCGCCTTCCCCGGGCCGGGGGACCCGCACCGGGACCCGCACCCGCGGGGAAACCCCCCCGGCCCCCACCCGCACCACGGGTGATGCCAAAGCCGCCGGGAACTCCCCGGCTGCCCATCGCGGAGCTGCAGCATCGCTGCCTCCCGCACCCTGCCCCCGGGAACCCCCCGGCCGCAAACAGCCCCCCAGCCCCGGCCCTGACCCCTCGGCGTCCCCCCGGCCGGGAGATGATGGAAGGGATGCACCAAGGCACTGCCCAGAGCCGGGCGGGGGGCTCAGCCCCGGGGGGGGGTCGTGGTGACCAGGCAAGAGGGGAAGGCAAAATTGCTGCCGCACCGGCTTCTCCTAAGGAGAACGCAGCGGTAATAAAAAAGAATAGGGGGAATAATAACAATAACACAAGGAATAACTAGGACAAGGAGGGAAAGTGGGGAGCGCGGGGATTTCCAGCGTGCCCGCGTTTTCAGGTGCTCGGGGGCAGCACAGCGGGGCTGGCCGCTCCCGCCCCCCCCCCGATGGACCGCTCCCGCCAGCCCATGGAGAGCCCTCCCCGCGTCCCCAAACGCTGCCCGGGGTCCCCTCCAACTCCCCCGGCCGCGCTCGGGCTTTGGGAGAACTTCCACCCGCGTCCCCCGGCACGACGCGCACCCCGCAGGTTGGAGATGAAGTTTGTAGCCCATGTCCGTAAAATAAACGGGATGAAGAAGATACAAAATAGACACCCTCCTCCGCCCGCAAAGCCTCCTCCGCAGGGATGCTCCCCAGGCGCCCCCCGCAGCACACACCCCCTTTTTCCCAACTTTCTCCCCGCTCCCCGCGGAGCCAGGCAGCCCCCATAGGCTGGTTCCGTGCTCACCCTATGGGATCGCAGCGTCCCGGGGGGAAAAAGGGGAACCGGGGAGGTCCCTTTGGGATGGAGGGGGGGTCCCCCACACCCTCCCCGAGTTACACAACCGCAGCCCGGCAGGAGCGGAGCGCACACATGGCCACTACCTGAGAGACCCCGCACCATTCCGGAGCGACCCCGGGTCTCCTCCCGCTGCTCCCAACTTGTCCCCCCCTCCCGAAACATCCTCGGCTTCTCCCCCATGCCCCCGCCCCAGAAGTAAATGCCCATTTTTTGCAAAGTTTCCTCGAGATCGCGCCGTGTTTACATTGCCATGAATTCCCACAGGCTGCCTGGAGGGAACAAAAAGCAGCACGGGAAGGCTCGTCCTGCGAGCAGGGAGAAAACGGAGAGGGAGGGAGAGGGAGTGAAAAGAAAAATAATAACAATAATAAAAATAATAATAACAATAAAGGAAATGAAGCCGATGAAGCGGTGGGGGGATTCCCCAGCTCGGGTGCTCTGCTTCGGAGGGTGCTGGAGGGTGGCTGCAAATAACCGCACGGCCCATTCAATTCTGCATTTGGAGACGCGACCGAGAGCCCGAGCGGGAGGTAAACACGCCGAAAGGCTCTTACCTGCACAGAAAGTTCCCCAGAGCACGGCGAAAGTCAGCCACGAAGCAAACATAGTCCTTTACTTTTTTTTTTTTTTTCCTCTCCTCGCGTGCACCTCTACCCCAAGGGAAACAAAAATAAAAATAAAAAGATCGAGCGCGTGAAAAGAGAGGGAGGAGAGAAGCGTGGCTCTGCCTTCCCTCTCGCTCTCAAAAAGAAAAAAAAAAAGAAGAAAAAAAATCTTGGGGTAGGGGGTGGGAAAAAAAAAAAGAAAAAAAGAAAAAACAACAACAACAAGAAAATCGGATTTAATTCCTCCGCAGTTGCAAAATTTATCCAGTGGAGACGAACAGACCCGGACGGTTCGACCTGCTCCTGCCCGGCCCCACCGTTCGCTCCCAGCTTTCCAAGAGTTTCTTTCCCTGGGCTTTTGTGCTGGGAGCGCGGCGTGCACCACACACCGACTCCCCCTCCTCCTCCTCCTCCTCCTCCTCCTCTTCCCCTTCCCCCTCCTCCTCCTCCTCCTCCTCCTCCCAACCCAGCCCCTCCGGCTCCCCCAGCAGCGCGGGGCGAGCGCGCACACGCCCCCCCCACCCCCCCCCCCTCCCCGCGCAGTTCCCGCGCAGTTCCCGCGCAGCCGCGCGCGGGTTGCGCGCTCCCCCCGTTCCCCCGCGCACACGCGCGCATCCCCCCCCCCCCCTCCTCCCTCCTTCCTCCTCCTCCTCCTCCTCCTCCTCCTCCTCCCCGCGCAACCCACGCCGGCAGCGAGCGGGGCGGCGGCGGCGGCAGCAGCGGGACCGTGCGCGGTTCGTACGGACCCCGCATCGCGGGAGGCTGCGGAGCGGCAGGCAAGGGCCGGCGGAGGGGGCGCGGGGTCCGGAGGAGGAGGAGGAGGAGGAAGAGGCGGCGGGGGGCCGCGGCATCGCGGGGCTGCGCGGGGCGGCGGGCGCGGGGGCGCGGCGGGAGGTGCCATGTGCGGGATGGGGAAGAGGGAGAGGGAAATTAAAAATAAACCCCACAACGTGGAGGAGAAAGGGAAAGGGAGGTTTGATGGGGGTTTGGGGTTTTGTTGTTGTTGTTTTGGGGTTTCGTTTTAATAATTAAAAAAAAAAAAAAAAAACCTGAACCGCGTCCAAAATGGCTTCTAAAAAAAGGGAGAAGCCAGCGCGGAGCCAGCGGGGAAACCCGGATGTTGGATACAAAGGGGCTGGAGGGGGCGGTGCGGCGCGGGGGCTACGCGGGCTGAGCGGGGAGCGGCGCTGCCCGTCACGGCCGCGCCCGCGGGGAGCCCCGGCTGGAGCGGGGCTGGGCACCGAGAGGGTGGGGATGGGCAGGTTTAGGGACAGGAGGCTGCCGAGGGTGTGCGTGGATGTGGACAAGTCTAGGGGCAGGGGGACTGCGGTTGGTATGTGTGGATATGGGCAGGTTTAGGGGCAGGGGGCTGGAGAGGGTGTCCGTGGATATGGGCAGGTTTAGGGGCAGGGGGAGAGTGTGTGTGGATAGGGGCAGGGGGCTGCAGAGGATGTGTGTGGACGTGGGCAGGTTTAGGGGCGGGGGGCTGCAGAGGAGAGCTTTAGGGGCATAAGAGGGCGGAGGAGATGAGTGTGGATACGGACAGGTGCAGGGGCATAAGGGGGCAGAGGAGATCAGTGTGGATATGGGCAGGTTTAGGGGCAGGGGGCTGCGGAGGGTGTATGTGGATATGGGCAGGTTTAGGGGCAGGGGGCTGCGGAGGGTGTGCGTGGGGATGGGCAGGTTTAGGGGCAGGGGGCTCCGGTTGGTATGTGTGGATATGGGGCAGGGGGCTGCAGATGGTGTCCATGGATATGGGCAGGTTTAGGGGCAGGGGGCTGCAGAGTGTGTGTGTAGATATGGGCAGGTTTAGGGGCATAAAGGGGCAGAGGAGATCAGTGTGGATATGGGCAGGTTTAGGGGCAGGGGGCTGCAGAGGAGAGATTTAGGGGCAGAGCGTAGGAGTGCAGATTTAGGGGCATAAAGAGGCAAAGAGGTGTGTGTGGATAGGGGCAGGGCACTGCTGGGGTGGGAGGTTTGGGAGAGGGTGTAGGGGCAGGAGCTGGAGGGAGAGGTTTAGGGGAAAAGTGTGCAGAGGGTGTGTATGGATAAGGGCAGGTTTAGGAACAGAGGGTTGTGCGGGGATGGAGGTTTAGGGGCAGAAGGTGGCTGAAGGGATGTGTGCATCGCAGCAGCTTTAGGGGCAGGGCCTGGAAGTGGAGATCTGGGGGTGGAGATTTAGGGCCAGAAGGTGGCAGAGAGTGTATGTGGACAGGGGCAGGTTTAGGGACATGGGGGTGGCAGGAAGAGACTGTGGGGCAGGGAGTGGGGGAAATGCAAATAGGGCAGGGGATGGTGGAGCGGGCTGGTGGGAGAAATTTAGGGGCAGAAGATTTAGGGACAGGGCAAGGTGGAGGATATGTGTGGATAGGGGCAGGTTTGAATGACAGGGTGCTGTGGGGGAAAGTCTAGGGGAAAGGGGAGATTTAGGGACAGAATTTGGCAGTGTGGATAGAAGCAGGTTTTGGGGCAAGGGGCAGGGGGGAGGTTCAGATGGAGGGGGGAGATTTAGGGGCAGGGAGGACAGGAAGAGAGGTTTAGGGGTGGGGGGCAGTTGTAGGGAGTGTCTGGAGAGGAAGGGTTAGGGGAAGAGGGTGGTGGAAGGTGTGCGTGGATGGGACAGGTTATGGGGCAGGGATGGCTTAGGGGCAGGGGTTGCAGGAGGTGCAAATAGGGCAGGGAATGGTGGAGGGAGTGAGATTCAGGGAAGTGGATCAGGCCAGGGGGTGGCAGAGAGTGTGTGTGGATAGGGACAGGGGACTGTGGTGAGGTTTGGGGGCAGGAGGCTGCAGGGGACAGGTTTAGGGGCAGGGGGTGGCAGGGCAGAGGCTTTAGGGACAGGGAATGACTGGGGGCATTAGGAGCAGGGAGTGGGGGGAGTGCAGACAGGGGCAGGGGGTGGCAGAGGGGGCTGAGGGGGGAGGTTTTAAGGGCAGGGGGTGGCTGGGGGGGATTGGGGCAGGGAATGGTGGAGGGCAGGGCTGTGAATGGGTGGAGGGTGGGGTAGCACGGGGCAAAGCCATCTCATTGTCTTGGAGAAATTCTCTGGCTCCTTGCCTTCCCAGTGGAGAGGGCAGCACAGCCCCCACCAGGGCCAGGAATAAGCAGTGTCCTTGCAGAAAAAACAATTCTCCACTTCCAGACACTGGGAATGTGTGCTCCCTGCTCGTGCCCAACAGCCCCTTGACCCCAAGATCCAGCAGGAGCAATGGCTCAGTGTCCAGGGTCCCCAGGGCAGAAGGGACACCTCAGCAGAATCCTTTTTTAGGCCATTTCAGGGTTAATAAGGTTTTCTCCATTGCCAGGATTACAGGAATTGAACGCTCTCCACGATTTTATTTTAATTCTAACTTAAATAATATGGCTATAGGGAGCAGCAAAGGACTCTTAAGGGGAAGGAGGAGGAAGGGGGAGATGCTGAAGTCAGGTCATTCTCAAGACTTTGGGTCTGTGAGGTCCACTGACTCATCAGAGAGAGGAATGTGGCAGGGATGGATGCTGTGCACAGCAGTGAATCTCAGGTCAACTCCCTCAAATTCATCCGATGGGGACTAAGGCTGAAAATATTCCTAAACTCATTTTCTTTTTCCTCTGGAGGGAGATAAGAATAAACATGAATCGTTCTTCTAAAAGTTTGAAAAGCATTTTGTTCCAAGAAGAAATATGTAATTTTTTTCCTTCTTCTTCTTACAGTAACAAGTTCACAGAAAACTTCAGGAGGCTTTTACAAAGGCTTGTAAGCACTTTGAAGCTGGAGACTGTTTTTATATACGTACAGCACTTGTGTAACAAGGTCTCGACAGTGAATGGGATTCCAGGGTGCAGTTGCAATAAAGTGATTAATAGTATCATTCATGGTATCATACCTCATTCATAGGTTTCCTGTAAGTTAAGAGGAATACGTTGGCAGGAGCACGGTGGTTGTGACTTTAAACACGATACTCTTGGGGGGAAAAGTTACAGCTAACACATGCACTGAAGGGCAGTGCAATTAGTAAAGCCATGTAAAAGGCTCAAGAAAATCATTTTTAGAGCAAAAGCCTGCAAAGATCAAGTTCTGAACTAGTTCTATGGCGCAGAAATAGCAAGGTGGATATTGCCACACAGCTGGTGAAACCAAGAACAGAAAATAAGATGTGTCTGTCAAAGGGATGGGTCAGTGGTGATCACTGTTTATTCAGAAACACACAAGTAGGGTTTGGGTTTGTTGCTTCTTAATCTGCACACAGTGAGGACTGATTTTGTCACCAAAATGTTTGTCACCTGCTTGTGGCAAAAATCACTGAGAAGGCCAGGCAAGATGCAAAAGGGAATGGAAATCAGTTGTCAAAGGAGAAGTAAATGTCCTGGCTGTGGGCTGCAGCAGCTCAAGATGCATTTGGAGCCTCAAGAGAAGTGACAAATAATGTGTCAATATTTCCTATAAAGCTGCTTATTTCATTTGAAAGCAAATAATGAGTCAATATTTCTGTTTATTTCATTTGGGGAATAAATTGTCAAACAGCTACCGCGTGGCTGAAGTATGGAGAAATATGTGGGGTGATAAAATATGACCTGGTGTTTCACTGTACCAGCATCCCCATGATCAGCTAAAACGAGACATTTAGCTCGGTCCAAGAAAACATCAGCCCTGGGGAGCAGGCGGGGTGAGTAACACAGGATCGCTCGGGCTGCGTCCCTGCCCGGGCTCAGAGCACTCCCTGGCCAGCTCTGCTCCTATTTTTAATCCTGGCTGTGCTATGAAAAGCTCCATTGCACAGCACCTGAATGGCTGCTCTGCAGGCAGGGGCTCGGCAGCGCGTCCATCACGCGCCTGTCGTCGCTTTTGAGGAAACGCGCCCAGGGCGTTTCGGATGTTGTCCTAAAGCCACCTGGTGGGACAGGCACAGCCTGGCCTTCCTGCACCAGGGCAGCTCCTGCTGTGTGGCACAGGCACGCTGATCCACCCCCCAGAGCTGAACCTCGGGGGATTTTTGCCCAGGGGTTTATGACGCCCTGAAG